CACTGCCCACAAGAGACAGAGCCACCAGACCTGTCATGCTTCAGCCTGGTCAGGACAGGGACAGCTGGGGGCCCCCTCCAGCAGGGCTGTAGGTTTGGAGCATTGGGCTGTAGGTTTGGAGTGAGAGGGACACCAGCAGGGCTGTGGGGGCTGTAGCTTGGGAGTGAGGAGCACTATAGGGGGTCAGGGGGCTGTGGGTCAGGAGTGTGTGGCACCGGCAGGGATGGGGGAGGGGATGAGGGTTGGGTGTGAGAGGCACCAGCATAGCTCAAGGGTTGGGGTACTGTGGGTTGGGAGGTGTGGGGCACTGGAAGGGCTATGGGTGTGCAGGTCAGGAATGAGGGATACCAGCAGGGACAAGAGTGATGGGGAAGTGTGGGTTGGGAGTTAGGGGCACTGGCAGGGCTTGGGTGGGCTGTGGCTTTATTTTTGTTTTACATTTAATTTATGAGGCACTTGTTATTTACTGGAACAGTTAGAAACTGTGTGTGTCATCCCCCATCCCCTGTCCCCTTCCCACAACAGGTGTCCTCTTTTTTGGAACTGGAAATCTGGTAACTCTAAGCTCAGGCTTCTGCTGAAATGGCTGGGTAGGCCTACAGCTCACTCCACAGGTGTTGCTGGCTGGGATTGGGCCCTCAGTTGACCGGGCAGGTAGAGCTGGCTGCTTGCCAGCTCAGCTCAAGAACAGAAGAGGGGTCAGGCAATTTGGGTGAGCCCTCAGCCACTGCAGCCCTGCAAGTAAATGTTGGAGTAGCCAAAAACTTTTTCACCTGCTGTGCTACTCCTGGCTAGCCAGCATGGCTCTTCTCCTGAGCCCAGCCCTCTATGAACAGCTGGCTGTCAACAGCAGCAGGTGGGGAGGGGAAGACAGAGTCTTCCACTGCGTGGATCTGGCCTCTGCAGATCCAAGTCATCACATCTAGGGGGTCCCACATGGTCAGGGCTTCTCCCCCTCACTTCCGTACCTGTTTGGCCAGCATGTCCCCTAAGCCCTGTCTCTTTCCACCAGTGGCCAGATGTCAATGGTGGTGGAGGGGAGGGAGGCAGTGGAGATCCCCACCATGTGGGCTTCCCCAACTATGCTGGCTTAGGCCTGGGGGTGCCAGGTCCACTAGCCAGCATGGCTCCTCTCCCCAGTTCCATCCCCCTGGCCCCCGCCTTATGGACCTGGCTTCTCCAGACCCAAGCCCCCTCACTGCCTGGTCTAGCCCAGCCCCACCCCTCTCACCAGCAGCCAGCTGTCAGTGGTGACTGGGGGAAGGGAGGAGTGGAGGCCCATGCCATGTGGGCCTCCCTCCCACCCAACTGCCCAGACCAGCTGGCCATGAGCAGTCAGCTGCTGGTGGGAGCTGGAGCTGGGAAGAGGGACTGCACTGGCCAGTCAGGGGTAGCTAGCAGCTCAGATGGGCTTGGCATGTTCTGGCAGCCTGCTGAGAGGTGTGTGGGAGCTCCCCCAACCTGCTGGCTCAGCTAGTGCTATCAGTCTGTGTGCCCCTACCTAACCTCCCTGAAAGCCAAATGTTTGTTTTATTTGCTCCCAACATAAACTAGGGCACATAGAATAAAGCACAAAATTACATCACTTTTGCCTCAGTCTTTTTGAACATCTGTACTTAGCCTTGATCTTTAATCCTGAGCATCCCTTCTTTTGGATGGACTCCCATCTTGCAAAACGCTGTTGCAGCAGCACTGTGCGCTCTGTTCCTTCAGAGCTAGCTTAGAATATAGAATATATCAAATTAATTTATTCTTTCTCATGCCATTCCTGCTTTAGACAAGTTACTACTAACATATTCTGCAGAACCAGATATTCAAGTGCATCTACAGTTAATTTATGTGAAGTTCTTGTTCTTTTCTTCTTTCTCCATCCTCTTGAGAATCTGAAGAGTCTGCCAGTTCTAAGAAAAGCAAATTGGCAACCCCCAAATGTGACCGCTGGGACCCATACATTTAGTTACACAGATTAAGCATCTGCTGTGCATTTTGTACCTTCACTCCTCATTATATTTAGTGTAAGAATATTTATTCTATCAATTACTGGTTATTTGCTGTTCATGTACTTTCAGTGGCTAGTAAAAGTGTTCAGCTGTTCCTCTTAGGCATATGAAATAGAGCCTGCTAAGTTATTCAGAGTTTAGATTTCCCTTTAGGGCAACTATACCTACACAATTAGATATTGCTTCTTGTGACCTGGATTTCCAGCTCTCTCTGTACAAGGCAGAATGACTGGCTAGGGATGATGGCAATCACCTTTCCAGTTCCATAAAGCCTACAGAGGTTGGTCTGCAGGTTCATAGCTTACCTGAGAGAAATGACATAAAACCATTTGGGATGGAATTCTATTTCCCTTTATGCTTCTAAATGTTAACTTTCTATCTGTAAGTGGCATTTTTTATGCTTACACACAGGTATTGATTCTATTTCCCCTACAGTCTGGATGTGTAAGTGTGTGAACATAGATTAAGCATGCACAATAGACTATGTACTGGCTAGTCACATACGCAGGTACATAGGGATGGCTATTCCAGATGCATACATGCACTAAAATTATGAAATTGTAGTCCACCAGAAGCCCATGATTAATTAACATCAGACTTCAGAAAAGGAAGATACCGTTGATGGCTAGAAAAATAGTATTTAGAGGTTTGCTTTTGGGAATTTGCTTATAGGTAATATATATATGCATTAGGACAATAGTCCAGGGTGGCAGCAAAGGTTAATTGATTTCTAAAGGCCTGGTCACACAGTCCCACAGTTCTCATAGCCTTTAAGGTGTGTAACACATAGTCTGGGAAATTGTGGGCGTATACTAAACAGTTCCATAACATGAGATAAGGTGGCACCAGCTCACAAGGCCCAAGAGAGTGGGGGGCCTAACAGTTCTGGTTTTGGGGAACAGACCAAATTAAGAGAAGACCCAGAAAGCCCAAATTAGGATGTGTGCATGTGATGCGGTTGTGAAATAAAGTAATATGTTGATAGGACAATGTGGACAATATGACAACCACAGAAAGACCAATCAGCAATAGCCATGTTTGAAGAGTCATCAGGAGGGGAAAAGAATACAAAAGCAGAGACTTTAGAGCAACAAAGGGCCCCCGCCCCCAAGAGGGGTCCCCAAGGCCACCATGGACAGAAGGCATACCACCAGCCCATTTCATCCACCCCACCTCCGACCTCCAGGCTGCTGACATCTGACATTCAAGAGAGAACCTCAGAGTGAAGCTTGTGTCCTGGCCAGATGCATCTTGACTCTGATGACAGCCCTAAGATTGGTAGTTATAGAATTGCTTATAATATCCTTTTCTATTATCTAGTATCAATAAATTTGCCTGTTATCAAACAGAAAGGTAGTGGCCAGTCTGAGGATTGGGTTCCACCCAGAACAAGGTATCTGGGTCATAAATCCAGTGCCAACAACTGTAGTCCCTTGTATACCACATGCCCCTAAATAATACATGCACCCTGCTTTGGAAAGGAAGAATGAAAATTTTTTTTTCCCCCACAATCTTAGCTGCTGCCATTTGGGCTCAGTGGGTGTTTCTACATGTTTATTAATGCACCTTAGATGCTGTGCATTTATTTTAGTACTTCCTTAATAAAGTAATAACTAAAGTTACTGCACTGTAGCACCAGCACATGGTTATTTAGTGATACTTACTACACATTAGCCTAATAACACTGCACAGTAGGCTATTAGCATGGTTTTTGCCATGGCACGCTACTGCACAGTGTTATTAGGCCGATGGGCAATAAGCGTCTCATGTAGATGCGCCCAGTATGACTGAATGCTGGTGTAGACAGGAGAGTTGGAGCCCACTACAACATCGTATGACCCTCCAGCGGAAGATCTGCAATAACCAGTATTCCACCATCATCAGTGCATACAGTACAGAGTGACAAACATAAGACCACATGGGGATACCCTCACTCTAAGAACTAGCACCTCCTCAAATATGTTATCATTAGAGTCCATGATTGAATGAACATCTGTATCACATGAACCATGTGAGGAACTGATGACTGCTGACAGATCACTGGCTTGTCAGATCCATTATGATCATCTGGCTTGATCTGAAATACCAAAAACAGCCAAAAGCAATGTAAAGGACTCTCAACACCAAATCTCTTGAAGATCTGAAGGTCTGTAAGGATCTCCAACAGTGTCTCCATGAAAAGTTCTGTGCCCTGTCACAAAATAAGACAACATTGAAGAACTCTGGAAGGGGTTTAGAACTGCCATCCATGTGGCCTGTGCTGAATCTATTGGCTATAGCACCTGTTGACACAAAGACTGGTTCAATGAGAACAACACTAAGATCCAAGCCCTCCTCAACCAGAAGAGAAGGGCTCATGTGGTTTGGAAAGATGATACCGCCTCTCAGCAGAGGAAAGAGATGTATCACCTCATCAAAGCTAAAACTCAAAGTGGGATCCTGGAAATCAAAAATCAGTGGTGGCAAGATAAAGCAAAGGAGATTCAGCTCTGTACTGACACACATGACATGCATAGCTTTTTCCAGGCAATAAAAGCCATCTATGGCCCACCTTCCCATGGTCCCACTTTCCTGCAATTGCAGGATGGCTTGGCACTCCTCAAAGACAATGTATCTAGCTTTTATCTCTTGCTGAAGAAGTCCTACTGAAATCTCAATGTGGTTTCAGACCACCCACAGGTCAATTGACATGACCTTTGCGGCCAGCTTAGTCCAAGAAATGTGTTGGGAATAAAATTGGGACCTGTATATGGCCTGTATTGACCTCAAAAGGCCTTTAATTCCAACAATCACGAAACCTTGTTGAAAGTACTGCCAGATTTGGATGCCCTTAAAAATATATCAAAGTTCTGAGGCTTTTCCTTAACCAGATGACTGTGACCATTATTTGCAGTGGATTGGTGACATATTCATTCATTATCTGAACTGGGGTCAAGCAAGGATGAGTAATTGCCCCAATTTTGATCTCCATTTTTGACAGTCATCCTGGTTCTCATTAAGAACCTTTTGGAATTGACATTGAATACCGAATGGATGGAGAGCTCTTTAACCTGGGACATTTTCACTGAAAAACCAAAGTACTCAAAACAACCACCCTTGACTGTCAGTATGCTGGCAACTGCACCATCCTTGCTTACACTAAGGAAAATCTCCAAATCATGCTGGATCTTTTCAGAGAACGCTACCAAACTTTGGGCCACTCTCTCAACATCAGGAAGACTGAAGTGTTCTGTCAGCCTGCCCTAGGCCATGAGTTTGACCCCCTCCCCAAATTACCATTGACGGAAGTCTACCTGGAGGGAGTCAAGAGCTTCCCTTACCTAGTTAGCTACCTCTGCCCATGAAACTAGTGTTACCAGCATTGAATCAGTGATCATCGAGCACCAATTTCACTGGACTGAACATTGTATGCAGACGCCTAACTTTTGACCCCCAAAACAAGTGCTGTACTCCCAGCTTAGGTATGGCCTGCTTAGTTATGGCCTCAGGGTAACCAGAGGAAACTCCAACAAGGAGCAGGGGCAAGAAACATTGAAAGCACACTACAAGAAAATAGATACTGACATCAAGAGTTGGGAGGAGCTGGCTGCTAACTAACTCCAATGGCACTGCAACCTCAACTAAGTGGCAGCCCATTCTGAGGTAATGTTTTGCCCTCAAAGCAAAGAGAGAGTGGAGCAAGGAAAAGGAGAGGAATACTTGTCTATAGCCTACTCTCCCCAATGGAAAGACCTGAAAATTCTGCAGATAGATCTGTGGCTCAAGGATTAGACTCATAAATCACCTCAGGTCCCACGGTAGAGATTATTTTCAAATTGAGGGCTTGCCAATGACAGAGCACTGTGCTAGTAAGTGATACAGATGCAAGGTCAAACGTTCTCTGGGGGAGGGGGTCCCAGAACTTAGGTTTCTGGTTTCTTTACCAAATGTCTTAATCCCTCATCTATTAGAGCTAAACCCTGGGATGATCCTCCTTCTCCCTCACCCCCATTTTTCTAGGACTTACGCTGAAGTATGTGCACTTGTAGCCCTGTATGGGCATGCACCTTTTAATGTGAATTTGGTTAAGCCATCAGGCTCCTAATAAGCAGTGCTAATGCTACTGTAAATGGAAAAATATTGACAGCCCCTGCTTTACAAAAATCAGTGCTTGGATTCAGGCAGCACGTGACAATGCAGTGTGGTAACACTTTTTGCAAACTACTGATTTGTTCCAAGAATCTCAACTTTCACTTAAAACTTTCATGTCCTATGCTGCAAGGCTTAAGCCTTGAAGCATGAGCATTGAGCATTGCAGAAAGGAGTGGGCTACAAAGTGAGTGGTAGCAGTGTGGGCATCATCCATGGAAGTTCAGCTCAGCTTCTAGGATCTAGATGGACTCCCACTGAAGGTCAAAAGTAAAGGTTTACAGTGTAGATGGTCAGCAAGTATCTATTTGAGGAGGACTTTGAGGCTGGTCATAGTGACCACTGTAGACAAAGCCTTTGAGAGCAGCATTATCATATTTTAAGCATTTTCATAATCTCCTCTGAGTGGCATCTCATTTTGATAACTCAGGGTTGAGTTTATGTAGCAGGCAGTATAAATCCTTTTTGTATAAAGTGCCATTTGTTAGACCTAACATCTGTAGGCACCCTAACAGCCTTAGCATAAAAGATCTGAAACAATGACTATTGCTGAAAATGCCTAATTAAACAACCACAACTACAAGTAGAACTGGTAAGGAATTTTTTGGTGAAACATTTTTCACCAGAAAATGATGACTTGTCAAAATGTATTGTTTTTTCCGTTAAGGGACAGAATTTCTAGGGTCAGGGTGTTGGGAGGGGAAGATTCTCCATCTCAGAAAAAACATTAATCCAGAAATAGATTTAAACTGCTTCTTCAGCATCTTTAGTTGTAGAGATATCCACAACGTAGGCACCTTGCCCAGGAGGGTTCAATTTGAACAGGTTTAGGTGCTTAGGATTCCCATACAATAAACAGGGAAACTTAGGCACCTCTTCAAGACCATTCAGGATTAGAGACTTAGGGTGTGCATAGACGAAATGGGGGCCCTAAATTGAAGCGGTGGGTTTTTAAAAATACCGCTTCAATTTCAGGCCAATTAACACCCCCTGTCATCCACACACCCAACTTACCTGCCTCTCCGGTGGCAGAGAGGGGAGGGCGAGCTGCCAGTGGGCAGAATGATCCCTGGGCTTCGGGGCAGTTGGTGCTTCCCTCCATGGTAGTACCCCCCCCCCCGGCAGCACCTGCCTGCAGGCACCTGGCTCCAGTGGTCCCAGGAGGCACAGCAGCCATGGAGGGAAGCACCCCACACAACTCATGCAAGCAGGGAGAGTGGGGAGTTCAGGCTCACTGCTTTTTTTTTTTCCTGTCTTGGGCAGAGCCTGCCTTGCCAGGCTGCTGCCAGGTTGCCTACAGGGCTTCCTGCAGAGCCCCTGAGCTGCACAGAGCCCAGTGTTTCACTCTGCAGCTGGTAGGGCAGCAAACTAAAACTCCTTGGAGTAGTTTTAGTTTGCTGCACACCAAGTCATTTAAGGTACATTACGCCACCAAATTTGCTACAGCGGCTGCAATTAATGTGCAATACGCTGCTGAGATGTGCAAATACCAACAACATTAAAGCAGTACAAAAGCATTTAGCCTACTTTAAAGTCTCATGCACACATGCCCTTTGTTTTGTCTACACACGGCCTTAGGTAGTCAAATTGGATGGCTTCTGTCTGTGCTCACAAGCCTTAATGTAAATGCCTAGGAAACAATGTAGTCCAAAATAGAGACAGCTAAATTTCACTTGAGTTTTGCTTAGGTGCCGACATCACCAATTTGAATTTGACCCCTATATTTAGAGACTAATCTGGGAGACTCAGTTGAAACCCAGAGAAGGCATATGAACCTGGATTTTCTGCTTTGTAGGTGAGTATCTAAATCCCTGGGCTGTTGGCTAGTAGATCTATGTCTCTTTCTCTCTTTGTTTTTGTGTAAAACAAAAATGGAATGATCTATTTTTAATTCTCATGCTGAACAGAAATGAATAGTGAAACTTTTTAATTTTTATTATGGAATGGAATTCTTGTTTTCCTGTCTTCCCTGCACTGTTGTATTTAATATACATATTACAGGCAATATATAGTTTAGACTAAAGTTCAATCATGCTTTTAAGGATCAGTTTAAATCTGTGCCAGTTTGAGTACTAGGAGGCATACTGCTGCCAGAGCCTATAGAGTGTGTTGCAAGTGTGCCACCCTTGGAGAAGGTGTAGCCTTTACTCTACTCAGTGTCCAGTCAGCTCTGGCTGCATACATACATTCAAATAATCTGGAAGAATTCTCTCAGGTTTGGTAGAGAAACTTATCCAGAGCCACATGTACAGACATTTGAATGCTGAGGCCCTGAAGAGTGGAGAACTTGCAGTGCTGATGCTGAGCAGCTAAGAGGGGGCGGGGGAGGAACTGTGCACACATCTCAGCATGCTCTGCAGGCTCTCTTAGTCTCCATGGTGACAGGTGACAGCAGTGCATAAAGCAGCCTGATTGGCTGCCTCAGACTGCCCATGGTCAGCTTACATTTCCCTGTAGCACAATATGGGGACTATGAAGGGGGGAGGGGGGGGTGTTCTGCTCCCTACTGGAGTTGCAGAATCCAGGAACTGAGACACTGTTTGCTTGGGCCAGAGTGGCAAGGCGTGCTGGAGGAGCATGGCATGTGAAGACACTTACAGTCAGGAGAAACTCTCCTGGGAATGGATTTAACCCTGGTTGTTACCCAGGTTAATTTTCCTCTCAGAGCAGCCATTTTTATTCTGGGAGAAAAAGTCTGAACTCCACACTGTCATGGTTTATCTTGGGAAAGCAACAACTCTTCCAGGAGAAACTGAATGTCTGTATGAGGCCTCTGGAGTACAGGGAGTTCATAATTAACTTTGGGCTTTTAGAATAGGCAGCTCTGATGGAGATATTACCAACCTACTTCAAACTGGATGGCATTTTATTGTGAAAAACTATATGCTCTCCTCTTTGCTTAAATATGTGTTAAGTTATAACTTATTTATTGCTTTCTGTATGATTGTACAAGAAAGTATCTTGACAATATGGCATTTAGTGACAAATGGCTCTTCAATCACTCAGCTGAAACATGTAAAACACAATATTTTATAGGCTACAATTTAGGAACCACAGTTAAGCATATACAGTATATGCTTTGTGTATTGTGGAAACCCAGGTTAACCTGTGGTTACTAGTACCTTTCAAAGTGCAACATGAAGAACTGCCTGCACAGAGACTCTGCTTAGTGGGGAGCTTCAGCTGTAGTACTCATGACTTGGGTACAGTCCTGTCTCTGTTGAAATCAAAGGCAATTTCCTATTAACTTAGGTAAAAGTTGGATCAGGCCCTGAGACCACAAGACCTAGGGGATCCAGAAGCAATAGAAACACCAAGAGAATTGGGACTATGACCTCATTTCTCTCAGTAAGTGCAAAGAAGAGTGTATGCTTGTTGCAGTAGTCATCTTTATCTGAGCTCCCTCAGGGACCATGCTTTAAGGATCCAAGTTCCTGCTGGCAGAAATTTACTTTGCTACTAAGAAGCAGAGTGAGACTTAGACAGTTTTTAGGTAACTATGTCACACAGTCACATTCAACTTTGCATCGTGTAGCAGCCAACATTGTGCTAACACATTTAAATTTTTTAGAGTCCAATGTGAGTAAGTTTGTCCTGCTGAGCCTGTTCTTAAGGAATTCAGTACAGGAGTGTGTACCTGTTCGGAGATAAGAAAAGAAAGCCCAGTGGAGTGTATGTAGCAAACCTCAATATCTGGGATTTTTCTTTTAGGAAAGAAAATGCAGATGTGCACAATACCCAGCATTCTCTTGCCATCTGTCACTAGCCATCCTGCCTATGTGATACCAGCCTCCTCTCTCCATTGTCAGATCCTGAAATCATACTTCCTTGGCACCTCTCATTACACATCCAGCTTATGCAGAAAGGTAGGGTAGAATGGGCATACTAATAATGATGATCTGTTTGTTTTCAGATCACCTTGCACACTGCAAGCCAGAGTTCCCTCTCGCTTGCACTGATGAAATTCCATTGAGCCAGATTTTGCCACCATTATTAAAATGCAGCCTAGAATACTGCCCTTAATTACAGTGGGCTGGCTCTGGACAGCCATCAATGTCTGATTCATTTAGCATTAGGGAGCGTCTACACATGCATTTAAGTGTGACTAAATTTAATGTCCATTAAGCTAATGTGCATTCAGTGATTTTTGGCAGATGTCTACACGTGCAGGGACTTGGCATTAAATTTAGTGCCAAGTCCCAGCAGCACTGCCATGTTCTCCTAGTGGCTGGATAAACCCAGCACTGAAATTAATGCTGAGTCATGTCTTCACGTGCGTTAATGTGCTTTACCTAATCACTTTACCTAATTAGGCAATTAGCCTAGAGGTGTGTCCATAATGCTCATTAAATTAGGCTAATGCGCATTAACACATCTCATGTAGGTGTGCCCTTAGAGTCTTTTGGCAAACTGCATAAAACAGGCTTGAGAACAGGGGTCAGAACCCAGGGTTCCCTTCTCCCTGGACCACAGAATGAGACTCCCACTTGATTGATCTTTTAGGCCCAAGGCTTCTTCTCTGATGGCTTACCATCTTCATGGATGGGGTATAAGGCGCTTTCAGCCATGTCTGCCCCATAGCTTAGCAGTTAAAGCTCCCTGCTAGGACGATAGGCGGTATGGGTTCAAACCCTATTAGGCTACAAGTGGCCAAGTTCCTCCATGTCCTGGACAAGTTTTCTAACTGCTAGGATATTTATGAAGGAGGAACAGTTTGTTAAGTAGATGCTAAGGTCAGAAGACCTGCTAAGATGCATATGCCTTCTGTAGTTAAGAAAAGTAGAATTCCAATCAAATATATTAGTAAATGATACAATTCCCCATTGAAATGAAGCTTTCAGAGTAACTGAGGATCCATCTCCGGAGGCATGTAAGTGTATCCCACTAAAATGAATGGAAGACCCGTGTGAGTTCCACAGGGTGAACTAGAATGGACATTTCGGCATGCACCAGTTTTATACTAGTTTCCTATTAGAAGTATAGGAGAATACAGGCAAGGTGGAATGGCTTCTGACCTTTGTCATATAAATGAGGACTTTGCTTTACCTAAATGTTAGATGTACAGCAGGCACATTAGAATTTGGGCTTTTGTGTTTTCATTCCACTATCATGGACCATCTTGGATGTCACAGAAGAGCCCTTGGATTGCATACTGTAGCAGAAAGAACAAAACTGCAATACACATTTCACAGTACTGCTTTCATTTTACATTAATTTTCCATGTAGTGCATTTTAACCTAATATCAACTGATTCTAAAGATAGGAATTCAGCTTAATTGCAATAAAATATTTAATTCTGTTCAAGTAATGTCATATTTAAGAAAATTAAGTAAATCATACCAAAGAAATAACAAAGCTGCTGCTGACAGATAGAGAAAAATAATATCCCTTTGTTTATGAAGATTTATAGTAAAAATACTGTTTTAAATACCTGCATTTTCTTTGGATGCATATACCTCAACATAAGAATTGAATTTATAACACTTGGTATAAATAGTGTGATAACACTTCACAGGGCCTTAAGATATCAGGGGAATTCCAAATTCTTACACTGACTGCAGCATATTGGTTGTCATGCCATCCTTGTAAATATTTTATGTGGGCTTAAGGCTCAAGGACATATGTCTATTTTTATTCTGTGTTTGAGAAGAACTATGTGCCTAAAAAACTTTTGGTATAAAACATTTAGGAAAGCAAAGTCAGTTCAAAGCCATTTGCAGAAATCAAAATTGTGGTACAGCTTTTTTTCATTAGTTACTGTATTAAACTTATCAATTTACTCTTGCTTCAGTAGCAAACATTTTCGTAATAAATAGCTGTCTAAAACAAACAAATCCGTTACAATAACATTCAAAATAGCATGGATGTTTATAGTCTACCTGGGTAGATAGGACCAGATTGGATTTCATCTACAGTGGCTGGCTTACTTATGCTTGAGGTGCAGCAGTAGTTTACTTTTTGTTTTTAAACTACAGTAATTAAGTATCTCTGGCACTGACAAAACAATGAGTTGTTACAACTAACAAATACCCACAGGCATTGTTATATAGCCCATATTCTCCTAGGAGATCCCAACAAACTTTCTAGAGCTCAGCTTTCCTTTAAAATATTGTTAAAATAAATTATATCTTCTTTCCTGTGCAAAATGCAGAAAAAAAATCAAACTTTTTTCCTGAAGTAATATAATAAAATATATGTTGTGTATAATCTGGGGGTCTAGAAAAGAGTGAGAAATGTATCCTTAACTTACTTCAGTATGCATAATACATTCCATATATATATAATGCTTTTATCTGGGGATTTTTACACCTTGTAAAATAAGAATAGTCAACAGACCTAAAAAAACTAAAGGGAAAGGAGTTGGCCAAAGTATTCTTTTTCCCTTGGTACTTTAGCAGAATCCTCACACAGTTCTTATAGCACAAATTTTAACTCTCCCTTCATTAGGCACCCACAAGACACAAAGTCTTTATGATCAGAAGCATAGACCACTCCCAAATAGAAGTTAATGGGATCTTCTTAATAAAGAAAATGGGAGCTGCTGGTTCACAATGCATTTGAACATCCAGCAACTTTAATTTTAGGCACCTAGGCTGGATTTTTCAGATTTCAAAATGTTGGCCTTCACTTCTTGTGTTTATATATCAAAATTGACTCCTGTTAGAATCATTTCACATTTCATAATATGGTCCTGCTGAGAAGGAAAGTTAGCCATTTACTGAAATGGTAGATTCAATCTCATGTTGAACATCCAAAGCCAAACAAAATTTTATGCCATATCACTTTGGAGAAATCATTTGTAGAATAACTATAAAGGTCTGTAATTCCTTTTGAATGCTGTGCTGTCATCATAGCAAAACTATTTAAAACTCAAAATCTTCTTATATAAATTTGGCAAGTAAAAATATTTTTAGCACTTAAGTCAGCTACAACAGTGTTTCTGAAGCCGTAAGTCACAACTCAAAAAGTGGGTCACAAGAATATTTGAAAGGGTCATGAATAATCACAGAAAAGCACAGAAAACTGTTGGTTTCCCCTTACAAGCTGGCAGTGTTCCAGCCTATTTAGGGGAGGAGAGAGCAGGGCATGGATGGGCAGAGGGGAGCAGTAGGTCTCAGCATGGGTGGGTGGAGCAGGGCAGTGAGACTAGTTGCTGGCAGCCAGTGGCTGCTGGAAGGAAGAGGTGAGGGCAGTGTGGGCCTCCTCCCTCCCATTACTTCTTGTGCTTCTGGTGATGCAGCTGGCATGGGGTTCATGGCAGCAGCAATGGCAGCAACTAGTCTCATTACCCCGCTCCACCCACCCACATTGGGACCCACCCATTGGGACACATAGGCAGCTTCTGCCCATGCTGGTCCAGCCAGGCTGCAGCCCCATGCCCACACAAGTTTCGGGGGGCAAAACTCCCCCACATGCTGCACACCCTCCTTGGCCCATACACCCACCCCCAGCCCTACTCACTTGGGGGCTGAAGGCAGCAGGTTGGAACTGAGGGATACCAGCAAGGGTGGGGAGTGAGGAGCACTGGCAGGGCCAGGAAACTGTGGGTCAGGAGTGAGGGGCATTGGCAGGGCCAGGGGGCTGAGAGTCAGGACTGGACATTGATGTTTACAAATGGGCCCTGGTACAGAAAAGGTTGAGAGTCACTAAGCTAGACACTTCATGACTTAAAAAACAAAGTCACTTGGGTGCTTTTGAAATGGGTTTGTGAGTATGGAAATAAGAACAAATAGCAGCCAATAGGCTTGCTCTTATCCTGTGGTAAGTAGAAGTTAACCTCCAGTATCTTGGCCTCTTTCAATGAGTCCCTCCCATTTTATCCTATGGTAAATTGTAAGCATATCCATACCCTTAAGCTTTCGGGTTCCTTAGAGGCTTTTCTGAAATGGGTAGGCAGCAGTAGCATTTATGTGAGAAAATCAAATGTTTACAGTAACAGTTTAATGTAGACTAGCATTTCTAACTTCGGAAAACTTCCAAAGGTCAATCAAATCAAAGGATCTTATGAAAGAACCATATCTAGTTGTTGATGTTATGTGTGTTTTTTCCAAGGCCTGGGTTCTACTTTAGTTTGAGATTAATATGTGTGATATCATTAATTAGATATGAGTACAGAGCTAGACTTGAGCACCGAAGGAAGTGCAGTGTGTGTGAGTCATGTCTTACAAATGCATGACAAGCAGTGATTGATAACATTCAGCCAAACCACACTGTTGATTTTGGAAGATTTGGCATGGGAACTAAATGGAGAAACATGACTTCTTTGGTGATTTTTTTGTATTTATTGTTTTGTTTCAGCAATTTTTTTTCTTTTTAAATAACTGTATTTAACATTTCTTATCTTACTGAAATAAGGAGCCATTAGGGACTATAATGTACAATATATATGAAAGAGCCATCAGGATTTTTCTCAATAATTTTTTGTATTTTCTTATAAAGGGGAAATACATATTTCATGCCAAAGACCCTGATTTGAAATTGCCATTGTGTGAGCATCGGCGTCTATGTGATGATCCTCTGGGTATCCTTGCAGATTGACAGACTTGACTCTAGCCTATTTTAGTCACTGCATTTTGAGTCTTTGTAGTGAGCTTGGTGACATAAATGTGAAATTAATGTTTCCCTATATTTCACTGTTTTCATATCTACTTTTTTACTCATTCGATCTCGCTAGAGTCTCCAAATAATATAAGAATTATTTGTTTCAACACTCTGCTATCTAGGAAACTTGACTTGATTGTCTTTTCCTTCTCTTTCCTTCCCTTTGCCAATAGAATTAAGTGTAAAGTTACATTTTCATATGATCAGGAAAATCTTGTTTCCAGATTAAGTATATGATCATTGTTTTCAAAAATCCTAAAGATTTTCCAAAAATCTGGAAATGAGGTACTTCTTTGGAAAAAACTAGAAGTTTGTGATGGTAATGTGATGTACAGAAGACTTGGCTTTCTTTCTCTCGCTGGTCTCACAAGCCTCATATTATATTAGTCCTATAACCATGCTAACTAAAACCTTCCATCTCCTCCCATCTTGTGCCTTTCACCCTGTTGCGTCTTCACCCATCCCTTCTAGATCAAATTTTATGTTATCTTCCCATTTCTGCCTTGGCCTGCCTTAAGGTCTGATACCTTCCACCTCAGCTTCCAAAATCTGCCTTGTATGCCTTATCTCAGTTCTCGTAACATGCCCTGCCAATTTCATTCTCTATGCTGTTATCTTGCTCAAGACATCAGGTATTTTGTAAAGGTCCACAAGCTCTTTGTAACAGGGTGGCCTCCTCATCAGATGTCTGCCAGCACCCTGCTCCTGGGGTAACTACTTGCTTCGCTCTCCTGCCATGCCTTGATGGGAAAATATGAGAGTTCTTACTAAGGCAGGAGGCTACCTATTATCTGCCCTGCTGACAAGGGCCTTAATACCCTCTCCGACCTCCCCTCCATGGGTCCCATGCCTCATAGATATTAGACTGTGTGTGTTACCTCTCTATCATATGGCCGGAGTAAACTGGGCACACAGTTGTAGATCTGCTCTACAGTCCTGGAGGGTGACTCACACACCAGCCCTCTCTCACCCAGTCCCATTGACTCCACTGGCTCTCACCCAGATTCTTTCATACTGCCCTCTCTCCTGGGCCACACTCATACTGCCCGGTTTCACCCAGCTTCAGGCATAGCTCTCCACACCTTGGTCAACCCCGGCACAGTCTGTTGGGTATCTCCCACTACCCTCACCTGCGTATTGACTGAGTGATTCCACAACTGCTGGTCTACTTCGCTCCTGGGTCCTTGCCAGGCCACAATGCCCCCACTGGGCCTCCTCACTTGCCTACTCATGGGCCTCTACTCACTCACATGCTCTACTCAATGTCTCTCTCTAGTCACCAGCCCTCTCTCAGAGTCTCTCACTACTTGCTGTACCCAGGATTTCTCCTGATGCCTGGGCTTGGCCCCAGGTCCCTCACCTGGCCTGAGCTCTGCCTCAGGGCTCCTCCTGCTTGTTAGAACAGCACCAGGGATGTAGGGCTGGGATTATAAGGCACCCTGACCTGCCTTTAACCGGGGAGGTACCTGGCCTGGCATTTCCTGGGGACTCCCACACCACTAGGAGCCCCACCAGACCACCCTTCCCCAGCAGAGTGCAGTTTGCATCTTACCCAGGACAAGGGGTCACCTCCACCCCATAACCCCTGCCCTTACCTCCTGATATTCCTGGAGCAGCCTCTCAGCCTAATGTTACCTCCTTCCTTCCTGCAGAAAACCACAGCACAGCTTATATCCCTGAGCCAAAATGGCTGCCCTCATCAGTCACCTGGCTGCTGCCTGTTTGCTGCTCTTAAAGTGGCAGGCACCAAAGGTGCCCTGTCACACTGTTCCTTATGTCTTTTCCTTCAAACTCTGTTTTGTTGTACTGCACCAAATCTTTTCCTTAGTATTTAGTTTTCAGAGACTTACAGACTTTTCCATTTGCCTTTTTCAGCATCTAGGATCCACATCCATACAAAAGGAAAGTTTGAACAATTGTACTATAAAGCTGGATTTTAAGGTTTCTTTAGATTTTCTTTGATGTCATTATTTTATCCATGCTCAACAGGCATGTATTAGCACTGTAAAATGTTGCCTTGATTACTTCAGTTATTTGATTATCCTCGGCAATTATTGTTCCTAAGTATTTAAAAGTTCCCTAGCCTTTGGTTTTGGTTTGTAGAAAAGGCAGTAATTCTCCACCAGTAGCTACCACACAGTGATTCATCTTGCTTTATAATTATCATGGCACTTGTTTCATCTCACATCCTGTACAAGTAGTTCTCAAACTCTCTAGACTAAAGGCACCCTTCATTTGACTCAAAGCAGCCTTAGAAACAATCAGCTTCCACTCCTTTTTTAACTGTGGAAAAACAGTAGAGCAGTCCTGTTGCAAAGAATTCAGATGAGCTACAACAGGTCCAAATGTTTTTAACACTCTGGATTCCTATTGAAATCTCTTGGTTTATCTTGTGAATCATGTGTAGGTGTTTTCACACCTAACAGTGCTAATATTGTATGGCAGGTTTAAAGGATGTCCTGGAACCCTGATTGAGAATATTTGGCTTAAATACAAGTTTACCCTATATCATGTTTTTATCTGTCTTTATCCATCCTATTTTGTTACATTTTTACTTGCAATAGGTATCTTTGTGACAACCTATAAGGAGAACATGTTCACCTCCCCCAATTTTGTTGTTGTGCTGAAGTAATATTCTTGATTGAAAGCAACACTTGAAGACTGTGAAACAAATTAGTATCACAGATGATCTTCTGAACATATCAACTGAAGAATTTTCTCATTTGTACCTGGAAAATAT